GGTGGCCAGAAAAAGACTGTCCAATTCCAAATCCCTTAAGCACCCGCTCTAGTCTGGAGGCAGTAATGTCCCTTGGGGCTATCAAGAGAGATGATGATGCTGGCGCCGGGCCTTGAGGGATGAATAAGAGTTCAGTGGATGGAAAAGTGAAGGGAAGCACACCCTAAGTAGGGTAAGCAGTGCCTGCAATGGCACAGAATGTGGAAATACACTTTTATTGAAAAGCAAACAGAGGGGCACCTGGGTGGTGCAGCCAGTTAAGCATCTGACTTTTGATTTCAGCTCGTGGCCCCGATCTCAGGGTTGTGAGATCGAGCCCTGCGTGGACTCTGTGTGGGGCATGGAGGCTGCTTAAGATTTTCTCTCTCCTCCTCCCTCTGCCCCTCCCCCCCAAAAAAAAGAAAGAAAGAAAGGCAAACAGACACTATCTTCCCTTAGATAGGCAAAGTGTCCATTATCCAAAGTGCCTTTGGGTCCTCACTTTGCTTTTAAAAGAGCTACAAAGGGGCGCCTGAGTGGCTCAGTCGGTTAAGCGACTGCCTTCGGCTCAGGTCATGATCCCGGGGTCCCAGGACGGAGCCCCGCATCAGGCTCCCTGCTCAGTGGGGAGTCTGCTTCTCCCTCTGCCCCTCACCCTGCTCATTCTCTCACTCTCTCTCAAATAAATAAATAAAATCTTTTTAAAAAATAAAACTAAATTGAAAAAAAAAAAGAGAGCCATACAGGCCCCTTCCTCAGCAGAGAGAGATGGCATTATTCACACAGATTCTCCCCGCCCACCTTACTATAACATCTAGGCCACTGGGTCCCAACGTCTTGTCCATGACTGGCCAAAAGGCAGACTCTCCTTTCCTGAGCATAGCTCCCACCCATTCTCCCACCAGAATTCTAGAACCAGGGAGGTTCTCAGAGGCCATGAAACCCCATCATTGTCAAGACAGGGCATATGTGGCCCACAGTGGGGTAGAACTCAAACTCAAGAGTCTCTCCACAACTCCACACCAAGGAGAGTTCCTGCTGAGTGAGTGGCCAGGCCAGCGTTGTTCAGGTTAAATCTGCTGGGCCTCAGTTCTTTCAGTACCGAAGCCACCGCACTCTGACTACCCCGTCCCCTCCCTGGCCACTACCCACTGCCCAAGAGGAGCCTTCAGGAGGGCTACATTCTCCTACAGTGGTTACTGGTTCCTCGTCTCCAGAGTCAGAAACATACCTAGCCTCATACTGTTTGGCTTCCAGAGCGTGGCCTCGGGAGGCCGACTGAGAGTTTCTGTCATTGCCATGCTGTGAACATCATTTCCATGCAGGTGGGGACCTTGCCTGTCCCGTCCCAGGTACTCACATTACCCTGAACAGTGCTGGACACGACATAATAAAGAATATGTCTTTTTCAAATGAATGAAGCTGAGTGACCTTGATCGACTTACTTTTCACCCACTGGGCCTATTTTCTCACCTAGAAATGGTAATAACTGCCCACCTCCCAGGTTGTGGTTAAGGACAAAGGAAAACATTCATGAAAATGCCCAGCCAGGGTCTGACACATAGCAGCCTTCATGTTCCTTCTTCAAATGAGCCAGCACACGGGGTGCCTGGGTGGCTCAGTCGGTCGAGCACCCGACCCTTGATTTGGCTTGGGTCATGATCTTGGGGTTGTGGGATCAAGCCCCGCCAATGGCTCCCCACTCAGCACAGAGTCTGCTTGAGATTCTCTCTCCTCTCCCTCTTCCCCTCCACCCACTCTCTCTCTCTCTCAAATAAATCAATCAAATTAGCCAGCACCCTGCCCTCCTTCTACACTCTGCTTACCTCCTGTAGAGAGCCTCCCCTGGTTATCTACTGGGCTCCAGTCCTGGCATCTGTCCCAGAAACACTTCCTCCCCACATACTTGTCTAGAGTCCAGGTGATATTTCTGGAAAATATGGATTCTTAGTTGTTTACCTTTCCTTATGCCTGAGTCTTCTGTTGGACAAGGGTTAAGAATCCACCTTCCGTGGCTTCCCCCTCAAACAATCATCATCATCACCACCATGGGTATCTGAGGTGGGACCAAGAGTTGAGTTCCAAACATGGATCAGCTAGTGTCCAAGTCCTCAGCATCGCAAGTGCAGAAACCTGCTCCCATCCAGACCATTCTCCACAGTTCACAGAGCACCTGCATCTCGGTTATCTCATTTGACCCCTGAAACACCCTTATAATGCCAGGATTTATTCTATTTTACAGATCAGGAAACTGAGGCTTAGAGGGGCTCACAATCTGCCAGTGTCACGCAGCCTGGGAGGGCCGGCAGAGTTGTCCTGTCAGCCTCTGAGCCCATTCCCACCAGACTGGGTCCTTAGAGCTCAGGCGAAGGTGATTAATAAGAGTAAGCCCTTGCATTTCAGTGGTGATTTCATGGTCCTCTAATTTCCACATTCGCTCTTGTGAGATCTTACAGAGACAATCGTGGAGTCACGGACCCACCAATGCAATGTCCAGCCAGAGGGTCACCCCTGTGAAAAGGTCCCCTCTCTTCCCTGAGACAGTAATCAGTGGGGCCACAGAGAGGTTGCTGCCCAACGTCACAGGGCTTGCTAGTGACCGAGCCAGAATTTGAACTCTCATTTTCCTAACTCTCCTACTCCTCCCACTCTTGACAGCTTCCTTCACTTCTCTCTGGGCCTTTTGCCATCTGTAGAATGGGTTGGATGAGAAGATCTTTCAGCCTTACCCGCTGGTCTGTGTCCCACCCGCATGTCCTCTTCATGAAAACAGTACCGGTTTTGGAGGCAGATGGTTTGAGTTTGAATCCCAGTTTGGACAAATGAAGCACTCACTGTCCCTAAGCCTCAATTTTTTCATCGGCAAATGGGCCCAAGTGAGCTAATGGATACAGGGCTCCTGGCACATTCAGAATAATCAATAACTACCAGATTTCCTCCCTTTTCTTTCTAAGTCTGTGCAGGGCAGGCCTGGAAGACAAGGGCTCAAAATTCTACTCCAAGCTCAGTTTTCCCAACTTAACTGCGGAGAAGTCAGATTAGGGGAGCCACGACCTGCATCTCAGAGATTGGGATGGGGGAGCTTCCGAGCAAAGGCCCCTGACCTCTCAGGAACTTTCTGTATATTCCTCCTTCCCATCTCCCCCCTCCCCCCATCTCCATTCTGAACATTTTCCCCAGAAAGAGTTAAGTCTTCTCTGGGCTTTCCCTTCCTGACCAGTAGTGCCAATGGAGATTAGAGAGATCGGATTTATTTCTCTTAATAAACAGAAAAGAAGTTGGGCCAGGCAGGTGACAAGGAAACAATTGGAATAATAGGAGGCTGGAGCAAAAGGGAGTTAGGACTCCCTCTAGTCGGACCTGGAGCCACCCCCAGATCTGGAGATACAACAGCCAGGGGCAGGGAGGTGGTTCCTATGCACATGGGCTCAAATCAGGCAACATGCTGCCCAGAAAGCCCAGTGCTACCAGATACCTAACACACGCAGGGGGAGGCCTACCCACTGACCCAATGATCCCAACCCAGGCTGTTGGAGCAGGGACGTACAGGGTCAGCTTTTCCAGCCCGTCTCCAGGCGGGTCTCAGAGGGGAAAAGGGTCCACTGCCCTGGGGTACACCACTAGCCTTCTATCTCCAATCCTGACCATCTGACCAGAATCCATCCTGCTCCAATTCTGACCCATGCCCTCTTGAGATGGGGATGACTTCACACTGAATCCCAGTGGGACAGCATTAGGACAGACTCTGCATCAGTTGGGAGCCCTGAGAAACACCCCTCACCCAAACCCTTCCTCAGGGCTTGGCCCAGCCATCCCCACCCCAGCACCGTAACTTCTATTTGTGCCTGGGCCAAAGGCCCTCTTCCAAAAGGAAGATGGGGCCAGACGCAATCACACAAGAGGCTTTTCACCCTCTTCCTGACCCCTCAAACGTTCCTTCTAATTCTCCTGCAGAGGAGGTGGTTAAAGGACACTGGGAGGGTAAACACAGTATGGGATGGGCCCGAACACACCGCCATTTCCTCACCTCTGGCCCTGCAGCTCCAGCCAGAGGAAAGGTAGACTTCGGAGCAGGGCAAGCCCCAAGGGAGCCCCACCCTCTTGCAGAGACTCATGCCCTACCCCTCAAAAGGGAGAAAGAAACAGAGGGGGAAATGAGAAAAGAACCAAGCAAGTGCCCAAAAGGAAAGTGACCCCAGCAGGGATGGGCCAAGTCAGCCACCCCTTCCCTCCCCTCAGGCTGCCCATCCATCAGGCCAGAGAGAGCCCAGAGACAGGGAATTGGCTGTTGTATTTTAAGTACCCATCGCAGCTCAGGTACAGCCTCTCCATTAATGTGGGCCTCAGTTTCCTCCATCTGTAAGCACACTTCTGACACGGGCATGTTTCTACCAGGACTGGGGGTAAGGAGTGATGGGGAGGGGCGCCATGGTTGGTTCTCATCGGGGGGGGGAGGTTCAGCACGCCAGGAGGTGGATGTTTGCCGTTTGGCCCAGGGGAATGGTGAGGGGGGCCAGGTGGGAAGAGCTAACACCGTTAAGAGCCCAAAGCATGCTGTGCCCCACGCTGGGTCCTCTGTGGGGCTGAAACACCTTCTGAGTGCAGTTGACCTTCTGGACCTGGAGGAATCCCCACCAGAGACGCAAGGCCACCTGCCTCTCCCATGGGCCCCAGGCCAGAGCCGAGTGTCCGGCCCCCTGACTCAGCAGAGGGCAGAAGCTGGGTGAGCCTGGGGGAGGGGGACTGCTTCACCGTCCCAAGAGCCAGACTACCGGCACTTCCTGCTTAAGCCAGGAGATTCCTGCCCCAGCCCTAGAATGGGACCGGGCTGAGTCTGGGAAATGCCGGGGCGGGGGCGGCGGAGAATGGGGGGTGCTCGCGCTGAGCCCCGGGCTCTCCGCCTCCCCGGCCCCGGCGCCTAGGGGCTCACCCTTCCAACACGCCGCGGACCCCCGGCGGAGCCACCCCGGCAGCACCCTCGGCGCCGCCCGGCGCGCAGCCCAGGTGCCCGGCCGCCTTACCTCGGCCTTTACCCTTGGCCCTCCTGGCCTTGTCGTCCGCCTTCTTGGCCCGGGGGGCGGCCGATTCGGCTCCCTCGGTCCCCGCCGCCTTCTTCTTGCGCCGCTTGCCCCGCAGCCAGCTGAAGGCGCGGCGGAGGCCGGACGCGCCGGAGCGGGACTTCTTCCTGCGCGGGGGGCCGCCTGGGCCCCCCGGCTCGTCGGCCGCAGGTGCGGCGGGGGGCGCGCGGGCCGCCATGGCGCGGCGGGCGGACCTCCGGCGCGGGGTAGGAGGGGGTCAGGCCCCCTGCGGCCGGGCACCCATGCGCGGCGCGGGCGCGCGGGCAGGCGGCCGCCGCGGGGACACGCGCCGGAGAAAAGTTTGGGCGGCGGAAGCGGAGCCCGCGGGGAGCGGCCGGGCGGCGGGAGAGGCGCGGGAGGGGCGGGCCGGGCGGCGGGCGGGGCGCGGAGGTCGGCCGGGAGCCGGGGAGGGAGCGGCCGCGGGGCGGGGGCGGCGCCGCCTGCCGCCCTCCCCGCCGCCTCTGGCCGGCTGTCCGGCTCCGGCCGCTCCGGGGGCCGGGGGAAGGCGGGGTCGGGTGGGTTGCGCCGCGGCCCGGGGGACCCAGAGGGCGGGGTCGCGGGGTGGGGCGGGGCGGGAGGAGCCGTCCTGAGGTTCGGTGCCGGCGGGGGGCACGAAAGGGACTTCGCTCCGCGGGAGGAGGTACGGGGAGGGGGGCGGAAATGCTGGGCTTGGACCCCAGGACAGCTAGGTATCCTGAGTTCAGCCTGGGAAGACCTGGGGGTTCTAGCATTCTTCTCCTGGAATATGGGAATTCTGAAAATTCTTTCCAGGACTCAGACGGTACTGGAGGTGTTTGCTCTAGAGACTGAGGCTGCTGATGCACCTGAGACCTGTGACCAACAGTGGGCTTTCCTCTCCAGTCTGGCGATTGGGAGTCTCCCCATCACTCCTAACCCCCAATTCATCGCCCCTTCCCCCAGTGTCAGCCCTCAATGTGGAGCTGGGATCCATGCTTCCTGCGCTCTCGCTTCACCCTTTAGTGAGGGGGAATGAGGAGAGTCATGCCTCAGTTTGCCTGTGCCTCAGTTTGCCCTTGGACTTCGCTGTCCAACCCCTGCCTGGGCCTGGATTCCCCACCGAGATGCTCAACACAGATTAGGGCTGATCTTGGGCTTGATAAACTCACAGCTTCTAAGGGGCTTTGAGATCCTCTTTGGGTAAGAAGTGGGCCTAAGGATAGTTGCAGGGAAGAAATCCTTTAAGAATCATGAAAATGCTGTGCTCATTTCCTCCAGGTCTCTGGCTCTTTATCATAGCTGATCAAGCACTTTTCAATCATCAGATCCCACAACAAGCCATGAGGGAAGCAGTGCAGGGAGTGTTACCCCCATAGCACAAAAGGGAAACTGAATCCAGGAGGGGACACTGCCCAAGACCACAGAGATGGTCAGTGGCAGAGAAACCGAGACCAGCAATCTAGATCTTGCCTTGGCCTGGTCCCCAGGACTAGAAATTGCCCCAGGGGCCAGCTGTGGGTTCAGGGGTCCCAAGAAGGGCATCGTAGCACCCCGCCAGTTAGAGTTTGCCTTCATCCACCCAACCTGACTCTGGACACATGGCTTTCTCCTGGTCCTGGTCTCCACAAGGGCAGAGACCCATTTGTCTGGGGTACCCAGTCCAGGCAGCCCTGGCATAGTGTAGACAGCACTCACCGTAAAGTTGAAAATAATTACACTGCAGGGTAAAATGGCTTCCCTAACCTGCCTTAGCCCCCTGTGTGTCCCTAGGGGCTCAGCTGTGGCAAACCTGGGGGGTTTGAGGCAGGTCACTATCCTTGCTGGGCCTCGGTTGCCCTGTCTAACCACCATTCGTTCAGGTCTAGCCCACATCCCAGAGGACCCCTTCTGGGTCAGGCACTGGGCCAGGCACAGGGATCACAATGAGCCCTGTCCTCATGTTCTCTCTGCCTAAAGCAGCACCAACTAGCCTTAAGGACCCTTCCTCTCCCTCACTTGGTAAGTATCAACGGAGAAGGGCTACAGACAAGGCTGAGAGACAGAGAACAAGAGCCATGCAGGAACTTGGCCTGTTGGATAGTGTGGAAGCACCGGGTAGGGAGGAGAGAGGAAGGCAAATCTACTCTGGTTTTTGGAAGGGGCGATCAGGAGAGGGGTATTAGTCAGTCTTGTCCCCCCACCAACCCTTTCAGCATCTCCTTCTTCCTGGTGGCCAGGACTGGCTACATCATTTGCAGGGCCTAGTCCGAAATGAAAATGCAGGAACTTTTGTTCAAAAATTACTAAAATTTTCGGGCACCTGTGCGGCTCAGTCGGTTAAACATCTGCTTTCAGCTCAGGTCATGATGTGAGGGGTCCTAGGATCAGGCCCCTTAGGGCTCCCTGCTCAGTGGGGAACCTGCTTCTCCCGCTCCCTCTGCCCCTCCCTCCCCGACTCATGCTCGCTCGCTCTCTCTCTCTCTCTCTCTCAAATAAATAAATAAATAATAAATAAATAAATAAGATTATTAAAATTCTCAAGAAGGCAGGGCGCCTGGCTGGCTCAGTGGATGGAGCATAAGACTCGATCTCGGGGTCATGAGTTTGAGCCCCAAGTTGGGCCTAGAGCTTACTTAAAAAAAATTTCAAGGGAGTCTGGGTGGGTCAGTTGTTAAGCGTCTGCCTTCGGCTCAGGTCATGATCCCAGGGTCCTAGGATCGAGCCCCACATCGGGCTCCCTGCTCAGCAGGAGGCCTGCTTCTCCCTCTCCCACTCCCCCTGCTTGTGTTCCCTCTCTCGCTGTGTCTCTCTCTGTCCAATAAATAAAATCTTTAAAAAATCTTTTTTCAAGAAGGTAACACCAGAGCATTCAACCATGTGTGGGGCCTTTCTGACTTCAGGGCTGGGGTGACTAGGATCTATGAAGTTGGCCCCGACAATGGTTCATATAATTCCTTAGAAAAGCTCCCTTCAAACCACAATCCGCCCCCCCCCACACACACACACAAGAGTGCCTGGCTGGCTCAGTTGGTGGAACATGCAACTCTCATTCTCAGGGTTGTGCGTTCGAGCCCCACATTGGGTATAGAGATTACTTAAAAATAAAATCTTTTTTAAAAAATTTGAAAACAAATCCCCACAATCCCCAGGAGTCAGCTCAGAGATTGGATCCCCTGATTTGGAGGTGGGGAAGGAGGGGAGTGGGGAGAGGTCAGGGTTATTTTCCCTTCACTGTTTCTAACTCCCAACAGCCAGACATTCTCACCTCGCAACTCCAACCTGGACTACTCTCAGACCGGCAGCCCCAGCTTTCCCTCCTGTCCCCTGGCCTAACGGACAGACATACTTCAGAGACACCCAGAGAGGGCTAGCCTGGGAAGGGCTATCCTGAAACCCTGCCCTCTAGATTCATGACTACTCAGCTCAGCTACGGTTTTTTTTGCTGGCCCTGTGGGCAGCTAAGGAAACAGACTTTCCAGCAGCCCATGTCAGCAGGGCCCAAAGTCCATCCTGGAACCAGGCTGTCACCTGACCAGGCAGGAAGCTGCAGCCCCAGGGAGAGACCAGTAGCCCCCAGGCCCTCCAGCTTTGCCCCCTCTGCTTCTGGAAACCCCAGGGCCACCCTGATGTCGCTCCCATACCCACCCAAGGCTCCCCACCTCCCACTCCCAGGGAGACCTGCCTCCCATGAGCTCCAGCTTTGTACTCTGCTGGGCCTGGTCTTCTCACAAACTCCAGACTGGGCAGCCAGGCCAAGGTGTGGCTGAGCCTCTCACATTTTACAGGGAACACCAGGAAGGAAAAGAGCCTGTAAATCACATAGCCAAGGGTAGGAGCACCTGTGACTGCCTCAGTTCTTAGACCAACTGGGGGGGGGGGGGCTGAAATTATAGTACAGGGAGGAGCAGTTCTGCAAAGTTGAGATATGGAGTGATTAATAGAACTCCTATTCCATGGATAAGACAGCCTAAGAAGTGGTGGAGTGACTTGCCCCAGTCACATAATTACCTCTGGACAGAGGTGGAATTTAAAACTGGCTTGTGTTCACGTGTGTGTTTGTGGGTGTATGTGTTTCCTAACTGAGCACTTGCTTTACGTCAAGCCTCCCTACCCCATGCCAGGTGCTTTCAAGGGTAGACAGTGAAGACCCTGGAAAGAGAAAGTACTTCTCCTGGGACCTCCCGAATGTTCTGCTTAACTTTGAAACGCACTTGCATGCATTTTTCTGGGGAAAGGTCCATAGCTTTAGCCAGATTCCCAAAGGGGTTCCTATTTCAGAACGAACTAAGAATCTACCCTTTGATCCTTTTCAGTGGGAGCATAAGATAGAAAGAGGCCCCTGGCATGATGCTCTCCTCCCCTCTCCTCCCTAAGGTGGGGGTGCGGGTGGGAGGAGCCATGCAGGTCCCATCCTCACCGTGGGCGTTCCCTGGTCCCCTGCCCTGGCTGCTGGCATCCGAGGAAGCAGGTTAACGTGTCAAACGACATCCGCTGAGGTCTTCTTAGATCTTCCCAGCACCTCCTAGAATCAGGTTCTGAGCCTACTTGCGCCCATTTCCCCTGCTGGGTTGAGAGGTGAAAAAGCACCCAAGGGGCCTGTGGTGGGCACCCAGAATGAGACCGAGCCTGGTGGGCTCCCAGCGCTGAGCTGATGCCAGTTCCTAGGAGGCTGAGGAGAGAAGGGGAGAGAGAATGAGACAGGAGAGGGCACAGGAGAGTGGGGAGCAGGGGCACAAGAGAGAAAGGAGAGGTAGCTCTGGCCACTGCCCAACCTCCGGGGCGGAACAAATTCTGATTCCCTTCATTCTTTTAACAAACATCTGAGCACCAGCTCTGTGCTCCAGGCTCCCGGTTGGACTGTTATTCTGTGATCCGATTGTCACTCTCTTAGCTGTCCACAGTGTAGAAAAGTGGTTTTCAACCTTTTTCTTTTAGCAGTAGAATTTTCTTTTTCCCCCTCAAACAAAAGCCACCTGCCTTTTATCTGAGAGATGAAATGGATAAGAGCGATGTTTTCTACATACAAATTTAGTTTATAAATCAACTTATAACCTTTACTTGCCACAAAGTAAATCAGCGGGAACCGTGACGTCACCATGATGGACTAAAAATTTGAAACCCAAGTTATAAGTGATGGTCTGGGTTTTAACTGAGAGCCGGCCTTCCATTTGTTTCTGTGGCAGTTTGTTTTATTATTTTTTTTAATTTTTTATTTCTTTATTTGACAGAGAGATAGAGAGA